GATTTGGGTGAGTCAGGGCAGCAGAGCCCAACCCTGCAGCTGCCTCTGGGGGTGACAGTGTGGAGAAACCACCAGAGCCATCCATCCCAGCCCTGCTTATCTTGCAAGATCTAACAGCGAGAACAAACACGAGCAGCTTTCCAACTCTGAGTTCAAGTTTCTTGCCAACAAGAACTGTCAGAAAAACAACTTATTTTTCTGTTTCTTTCCATGGCAGTTATCCACAGGGCTCTTCCTAACCATCATATAACTTCCACCGCCCTGCCAGTTACGCTGAAGTGTCTCTTCAAATTTAAGATAGGATTACAGCTTGGTACTTACTTTACATCTCCATCATGTAAGGAGATGAGTGAAGACTTTATTAGCAGAGTTACTAGAGGTGTTGGCCAAGAAAGTGTCCCTTTATCCTAAGCTTTTCCAAACTCACCATCTCCGCTGGCTGCTACTTTGCAATCACAGCTCCCACAGGAGTGCCCCAGATGCCACAAGGCTTCCCCAGAGCACTCCCTACATTGCTAGCCTTAAGCTTTTTGGGACAATGGCTAATTTTGATCAACTGCTTCAGATTTGATTTGATCCCAACACAGTGGCTTATAAAAGCAGAAGACTTTCCAGTTCTGAGGGGGTTAAAGATGATTTTATGCTCAGTGGAGAACATTCAGCTCGTAGGACAGACTTATTGCAGTGATGGGGCCCCTCTCTGCAGCCGAGATGAGTTCAAAAAGCTGTTTGAGCTCAGATGCCTGTCTCAGGGTGATTTACATTGGCCCTGTATGTTTTCCTTTACACACCAATTTCAACACAGCTGGCCTGAGTGTGCAATAAGAGGTTTAACAACCTTAGCACAGGGACCACACAAACACCCAAGGAAATTCCAGCTTATTTCCTGGTGCAGCTTTGGTGCTTTCTGGGTTCATTCTCTTCTAGAGCAAAGGTAATGTTGTTTTTGTTTTGGAGTGTGCTGATGTACATTTCGACCCTGAATACAGTGAGAACATTAAAGCCTCCAGTATCACTGGCTTTATGCACTTCATTTCTCAGTCCCTTCACGTCCATTCTCAGTCTTCATATAGTTCATTTCGCTCACATCTACTCTCAGCCTCACACATATTGCCAAGTAAAGTGATATAGCTCATTTTTCTATGGCAGAACTTTCTCACTGCAGTTCTGTGAGAGCCAGCCGACCTTCTGGAAGATAAGCACATTTCAGATCTTGGGACACAGTCCATTCCTATCAGGTTAGCTACATTCATTCCTGCACAGGAGATCAAATTAAAGTGGGCAGTGTTTTGTTAGAGGGGGAAACAGGAGGTTTGTCTTAGTACAGCAAAAACCCACAGCACTCCATGGGGCTGCTGTAAGCTGAGCTGCACAGCGCGTTGGTCAAAGTGGATCTTCTACAACTGCTTTTGAAGTGGTTTGATTTTTCAGCTAGTGCCTTGAGAAAAATGATGCTTTAAACTAGGAGAATAACATCACAGCTATGTAACTTTGGAAGGACAAACTTGCAGTCTAAGTAAACCCTCATTGCTAAGTTGACTTTTATTAATAAATGTTTAATAGCAACCTTCCCTTTCTTGGCTTTTTTTTTTTTAGATTACAATTCTTTGCCCGATTCAGTATTTTGTTGAAATGGTGAAAAACCTTTATTGTATCACTGGACTCTGAAAGTCAGATGCACGTTAATAGAAAAGGCCATAGCAGAGGGGATACATTACCCAATATGGAATGAAAATGAAAACTGCTCTGAACATGTTACAATCTCAGTGCAGTAATGGCAAGAAAAATCTTGCCTTATAAACCCTCAGACACCATTTTTCTTTTACAGCTTTAAAACCTCTGCTGCAAGTCACCCTCACGAGGGACAGTTTGATATATTTTCACTCTCCATATTTTATGATAAGCATTTGTTCAGCAACCACAATGGCTACTCCAGACAGTGCTGGGAGAATATAAATCTGAAAGGGTGTTAGGGAATCTCAATCATGTCCCTGTGTAAATGTATTTTTATGCCAAGGGACATCTGTTCAAAGTTCCCCCAAGCGATTACAGCCCTAGAAGCACTATCTCCATGTTCACAGCTCTGCATTAATTAGAGCAAGCCACCACCTCCTGTCACTTGCAGTCTTTCCACTTGCTCTGGTCTGGATGCCTAGCTGGAAACACTCACTGACTTGCAGTGAAATGTCTTGAGTACCTTACTGACTCACAAACACTCGGGGACATGTCATGCCCAATCTTTCAGGGCTGCCAAGACTCCAAAGTCAAAATCACTGCTCATACAGCTAGCAGAGGGTTTACTTACCCTGGTGGTTCAGCTCAGCTTTTGCGGTGGAGGGAGAGTGACAGTGAAGAGATGATAACCACCCCTGTTAGACACTTGTATTCGCAGCAGGACCAGCAGGAGCATGCAAGTCCCACTGGGGTCTTTCATAGTGCTCTACAAAAGCACATCACAGTGCAACTGGGCATTGCAGCACTGCTTCAGCTGCTTGAAAAAGCACTGCAGCAGCCTTGGAGAAGCCCACAGAAGCACTATTGCAAACAAGGAACAGACGTCCACAGCTGATGCAATCTTTTCTCCCCGCCATTTGAGACCAAAGCTATTCCCTGAAAGCTCCCCAAGCGCCGAGCAGAGCCAGGATACCCCATCCAGCCCATCCCACCGCCATGGAGCACAGCACTCACATAGTGCCCTTCTGCAGGCACGTTCTCCAGGGCCCCATTGGTGGACTCGGGGGGTTTGCTGGCTGCAATGCTCTTGTCCTGCTGCTTCCCTTCCTCCTTCCCAGCGCCGCCCTGGCCCGGCAGAGCCACCTCCCCAACGCCCAGCGCCTCAGCTTTGTACTTCTTCACAAAGTCTTCCATCAGCTTCAGCTCTCCCTCGGCGAGGCCGCGGCACTGGGATGGATCCTGGTCGTACAGCGGGAGTTGTCTCATCAGCTGCCGCCGGCGGTAGTAGGCCCCCTCCGTTCCTGCCACTGGCTGCATCTCCTTCGGGATCAGCTCCATGTACTGCATTGCCTGGGATGGGGAGAGCACCAACAGTTACCGAGCCGCCTTTGGTGAGGAAGTGCAAGCACTCATCACAGTGCTGCATGGAGCAGTGACAGAAAACGTGGTCCTTCCCTTCTCCCTTTGAGTTCTTTTAACGTTTCAGAAATGAAAGGCTCAACTTAGATGCAAGTAGTAGCCAGGCTACTGTTAATAATTTCATCCTCAGAAAATAGGTTGGATAGGGTTTGGATTTGTTGGGGGGAAGGAGGTGTTAGGTGTTCATGTTTTGTTTTGTGGTTTTTTGGTTACGTGTGTTTGGTTTTTTCAAACAAGACAAAACCCCCAAGGCTCCCCAGAAAAACAATAAAAAGACTTGCTTCATTAGTTTGCACCCACATCCCAACACACCATCCCTCACTGGCATCAGCATGCCACCATTCCAGGCTGCTGAAAAGACCAGAAATCTATAAACATCAACACTCAAAACCAGGCAGCTTCCTACTGCCTTGTGCCAGATCAGGGAGAGGTCCAAGAAGCAGGTCAGAGCCTACATCAAGACACCCCATAGCCCTCTCGGGCTGCATGCTGCATGGTTTACAGTAAAAGATCCCCTTTTATCAATTGAAAAAAGAATCTTATAGGAAAAAAGCAGTCAGCAGCTGAGTCTGTATCTAACACTGACAGCTGCCAATGCTACACAGCTATTGATTCTGCAGTAAAGGGAAGGTGTTTGGTCATTTGATGCCCTGCAAGATGGAAAGCAAGTGCCAAGAAGCTATCCAAAATAAAGCCTCCTACTCAACTGGCCGCTAGCCACTCTCTTAAAAGCAGATTGAGCCACGATATTGTGAGAGGTTGGTCCCACACTGAATTAGCACTTGCAGGACAGCGGTGTCTGCACAGTTAACTTCTGCTGGCCTGGTACTGAGAGGAAGGGAGGTTCCCACTCAAGGCATTTTTCCTATTGTAGTGTGAAGAGCTAAGGGGCAGCCAGTTGGCACTCTGCCATTCTGCTTTGAAGACCAGCATCCATCTGCATCAGATTTGCTTCTTACTTGGTCAGCATTTGAAATGTGAATTTTACAAAACATAGAGAAGTGATTAACTGTCTACTGTGCATGGACCAGGTCAGTACGGCCTTTTAAATACAGAAACATCTGCACAGCACCAAACAGCTCATCACATCTGTAAGAACCTCAAAGTCAGCTTCCATCTCAGCTACTTTAAGCCAGATATAGAAATGTTACACAGTAAGATTCGTGCCTGAAGATTCACAATGGCAGTAGATAAATTATTTAATGGAGGCAGGGCTTCTTCCCTATTTCTTGGGGAGCACGTTAACATTGCTGCACAATGTGTTAGACATCCACACTCAGTATATCGTGCCTTTGTGCAGTGGCAGGATTGATAACCAGAAGTTTACCAGAGGAGGGAGAAGCACATGGGAAAAGGTGCTGCTCAGGAATAGCTGGTTAGAGAACTAAAGGATGCTGTAGAAGTGATTTGGTGCACAGATGGATTTCACAGAAGTGAGAAATCCTAATAGGAACTACAGAAGCAAGAGACAAGAATTCCCAGCAGCTCCTCCCAGGCCTCACACAGGCACTGCCTTACAAAATAAGGATACTGCTGGTAGTGTCCAACAACTGGAAAGAAAAGCAGCCAAAGCCTCAATGCTGTACAACATTGAACTTTAGGACAGCAAATGCTGCACAGTCTGCACTGACTTGATGCAGCTGCAGCAAAAGCACTAACAGAGTAGTAGCACGGTAGGATCTTAATGGAAGAAATTCTTAATCCACTACAAACGTGCCAAGACTAATGAACACTTACACCAGCACTATGAGACAGCACCATGCCAGCACATGCATCTGAAGCACCTCATTCTACTCTGGCACCAGACTCTCCATTGCCAGTACAAAACATCTGTGCTGAAAGCAAGAGAGAAAAGCAAAGTCTCAAGCCTTTCTTAAAAGTACAGCTGGAGTGCTCAGTGGCAGGCTCTACTACCTGCCCAGACACATGGTGGGATTTCACTTGCTGATCAGAATGCTTAAGGTTATAATCGCAGATGTCATGAAACACCCACAGAATACATCAGAGGGGAAAAAAAAATTCAACTTGACACTAAAAACTACCATGTAGGGCGAGGAAAAGTTGTTTCTTCCCTGCTACCATGTATGATTATAATCAAATGCTTTACTCTATTGCCTTAGTGCAGATAACAGTGAAAACCTAAAATGTTCTTCCTCAAAACTAACTACTGCACATCAGATATTTTATGATCTGTTCTTTTCACTTTCCCCAAGGACCCTGAATTATCTACTTCATAACTTCTCCAGGCATGGCTTGATGAAAACACACTCTGAACTTCCTCCTATTATTGGACCAACCACTTCAGGACAACAATATTAAAAACAATGCCAAGTTTCCAGCCTGCTTTCAGGATAAAGCCACTGGAGCAAGTCAGTTATGCACTAAAAGCTTTTTGGACCAAATCCCTTTTAAACTATCCTGAGAATAGCTGACATCCAGCACCTCTCCTGAAAGTTTGTCAAATTTTCAGACCAAAATTCATCAAGGTTATCTACAAAGCTCCTGGATGCTGTTTATTTCAATTAAGATATCCTCTAGTCCATTCAGGCAATATGAAGATGTCAAAACCTTTCATGAAGCATGTACCCTCTAAGCTGCCCCTTTACCAGCATCCATGGAGAGGGAGTTTGCCCCAGTGTGTGGAGGAGCTGCCAGGCTCCCCCATACCCCCATTGCACAGGGACCATCCCAAACATGCACCCACAATGTTATGGTGATGGTTGGGGTTCAGGCCCATAGAAGAAGAAAGCAGATGATGAGCTGCAGAATTTGGGCATCCTTCACAGCAAGGAGCAGACCCTGCCCCAAGGAGCTAGTAGCACAGCACTGCAGCCAGCTCAGAGCTGTGAAACCCAGGTTTCCAATAAATCCCAGGCTGGGCAGCAGGCTTAATGATTAGGCTGGATGGGAAGAGTGCCATCATTGTTCTCCCTATCCCTCACAAGCTCTTTGATTCCTCCTGGGACTTGCGGAAGGCAAACAATGGTTAAACAAACTTTCCTGCTGGGCAAGCTCCTACCAAAGAGGAGAGAAGGGAAGGAGGCTGAGAGCAGCAGCACAACCATTAAATAGCCAGGCAGTCAGATGTGCGGGAGTCTCAGTCCCTCACTGAAGCCCAATGGTCTGCTCCAATTAGCACCACAGGTCCCAGGTGCATTCCCAGTACAGACTTCATGCCACCCCCAGTTGGCCTTTCCAAGGGGGTGAGGGCAACCAAGTCAAGAAGAAATAACCAGTCTGCCTCTTGGGTCTACAGCTGCAATTTCACATTTGTTTCCCCAATTCTTTAAAAATCTGGTTGCAATTTACAGCAGCTTTAAGTTATTTAATTTGAAGAGCAAAAGCTGTCCATTAATGACAGTGTAATATATAATGTTTTTAGTACCACAACAGAGTTAAATGCTTTCTCTCAAGAAGTGCTCTGCTGGCTAACTATTCCACACACCAAAAAACACTTCCCACACAGCAATATTGCTCACCTGGATGGAAGCTGGGTGCAGGAGAGAAGGTGGGGCTGGGGGGCTTGTTTTCAGATCCAGCCCTCAGCACAGGACCACACTCCCCATCTCCGCTTCTTACCCCAAGCTCTATTTACAAAACCTGAACACAAATGTTTTCTCTCATGTGGACCAGACTATGTTTAGCTCTGAGGAAAAAGATCCCAGCTCAATGCTGAATCTGGAAGAGGATCCTCAGGAAGCAGCAATGGGTAGGGTTCATGCCCGCACCAGCAGGACCTGTGGGCAGGATGCTCTTAGCCACAGAGCTCAGCTTCACTTTCCTCCAAGCTATCACACCTTGGCACCATGAGCTTCTGCTGCACAGGGAAGGAAGCTCCAGGACTCAGCTGGGAATAGGGACAGGCTGCTGTTGGAGAGTGCAGTGCTCCACTCAGCCAGCCTGCGCTTCTGCAGGAGGATGTTTTCTACTGAAGTGATGCTCTTCTGGGAGCAGGACATAGAGAGCCTCAAAGAACAACTACCCAACTGCCCACCACCACCACAAGTTAAACCTCCCCTCCTACTCCTCTGCTTGCCCAGCAAATCTGAGCTGAAATTAAAGAGAACAGCATTACAAACCAGTTAAGACATGACTTGAGTGCTGTCAGCATGCTGTTTTGGCTGTTTCAGTGTTCCTACAGACACTTGTCCAGGGCTGAGGTGGCACGCATTCAACAGGAAACAAGGCTGCATTTCGGGGGTGGGGGTGTGTGTGTGTTAGGGCCATTCTGTGATTTACAGCAGCCCAAGTGAGCACTAGTTGCACTCCTGGTTAATAAACTTGAGATGCCAGGTCTATTTTAAGTCCAAGATTTTAATAACTACCTCATCAAGCAAAGAAAAAATAATTATCTTCTATTTTAAAGACAACGGTTATTTTGCTGTTATCATTAAAGCCCATTTTTGTAACAGAATAATTTACGAGCACAGCACTGGATTTAGATGCAGCATTACTTCCTTTCATATTGATTTATTTTCTCTCCTTTTGAGGCAGACTGAAGCACCACTTCCTGAAGCATTTGCTGAAAAGGCCTCCAGGTTAGTGGAAGCGTTCCAGCTACCTCCACCTGTGCTGGCTGGTCCTGGGACAGGCTTACACCAGATTTGCAAGAGATTAAGCTCAAAGAGGGCAGGACCTCCCACTCCAACAGGGATGTCAAAGCCCAGGAAAGCTGTTCTGCCCAATAAGAAACCCAAATAGCTTGTCTCCACTGCTGTTCCCAGAAGCCCAGTCCTGACCCACATTAGTGTAGAAGCCTGGAGATTGGTCTCTGGAATTAACTTGTTGTCCTTTTGTGCATCCTACGGCCTGCACAGCTTTATGCCTCCTCGGTGACCTCCTGGGGGTGTTTAGGGAGAGGACCAAACCTCAGCCCTGACTCCCCAAGAAAGCCTGGAAGAATTGCTCCCACATCCAGCCCAGGGCTCTGGAGCAGGCATACACCTGCATGGGCTGTACAGGTGGTGTACAGCTGGCAGAACAGCAGAGATGGGATCTCTCCTCAGCAAGGTTTTTACTGGACTTGAGCTTTATCGAAGTAGTGAGCATTCTAGTTGTAAAACCCATTAAGACTTCTCCTAGAAATGTAAGCAAAGCTGTAAAAACCCAACGGCAATCCATTCCCCTCTCCTACCTACCCCAGTTATTTACATGGTTTTCCAAAATACAAAGTGTTATGCACATTTTTGCTCTGAGGCAAGTTGTATGTTTTACTATTTTCCCTGACTACTTTATTCCAGAGCTGCGTTATGATCTCCATTAAACAACTACCCACCAAAGACACCATGGGTTATCTTACCAGCTTCTGGGTGAGCCCTGGTGGAGCCCACTCATATGTGATGGTGTCAAAGGTGGGGTCTTTCCGAGAGACAATGGGGTTGGTGATGATCATGCGGTTCCTTTTGTAGATGCGAATGCCGTCACCTCCCTTCACCCGGGCAGTGAGCGTGGCGTACTTGGAGTCTGACAGCAAGCGCCCAATCTTCCGATCATCCTCCACATCCGAGCTCAGGCTGTGATCCTCCTGGCTGCATTTGCATGATTTACAGATCTTCCTGTGGGTGACAAGCAAGATCATACTTCTGATGAGAGCTGGGCCATGGGAGGCGCACGATCATGTGTAGCACAGAGCAGAAAGGGACAATCCTCTAAGCTACAAATGCCATCTCCAAGCGAAAGCAGCTGCAGCAGCGCTGATACAATGCTGCCTCCCACCCACCATGGGGAGCTGCCACTTACTGTGAACTTTGAAGACTCCTCCAAGCATTGCTGTATCTTCCATCCTCACCAATTTCCAACAGCCAAGCACTAGTACTGCCTCTTACAAAGCTTTACATACCCTTAAAAAAGTGACTGCTAAAAGGAATTGATACTTAAGTGTCTATAATTTTAATTATCATATCTTTATGATTTATAGCTAAGTCTATAAGGCCACTCCCTGCTGGCCAGCTTTTCAATCAAATACTAACAGCAAAAAGGACAAAGTAACTCTTATACAACTGCAA